TGAAAATTATCATATTAAATAAATTATTTGCCGTGAAATATTTTTATTTCATATTTTATTTCACAAATGTTTTATTCAATTTCGAATTAGACAAGGCCATGAAGCAAATACAAAGAGGAGGCGGCATAAGCAACTGTGCACTGTGATTCTAAGTAGGTCCTGACGTCATCATAGAGGGCGTGGCTTTAGTTAGTATACTGTCAGCATTCGCCCTGTGCGCTTATGTTTTGAAAATCGCAAATCGGTGTATTTTCGTAGTCTTAAGAAGAAAAGTGTTGTGTTTTATCGTGTAAAAACTACTCACATAGACGCTCTAATGTTATGGATGGCATCACATTTCATTTGTAAATAATGTTACACCTAATTTATTAAAATAGTTCTAGAAAAATCTCTTTGTGTCGGCTTTCATATATAATTAAATATATTCGAAACTAGATGGCGACACTTTGTGTCATGTGAACTAAAAATATAAAGGTACGTAGAGCTCAGTATTGGTAAAATAATCATACGAAGATGCTGAAATTTGTTTTGCATTCAGTCCTAAAGAATTTTTATCTCCAAAATATTATTTTTCTAGTTTTTATAATCTTTTTGTGATCTATCGTCAAGGTAGCTAAACTACATTCCAACATCGATATGGAACGATTCGAGTAGTTTTACTATTTATCGGTAGATGTAGATAGTAAAGTGGGCGGGGCTTAACATCCCCTCACCCCGCAAATTGTCACGCGTTGTTACATAGTGAAATCCAATTACAACACCTCCTCTTTGTATTTGCTTCATCGGCAAGACCATTAATAGTGCAAAAGCGTTGTATGACCATAAATTGAAATTATAAAACATAGAAAAATAGTGTCAATATATCTATACATACAAATAAAATTGAAGTGTCTGCCTCTAATATCTAAATAAATGAATTCTATTTAGCTCAGGGGGACATTTGCAAGCTTTTAAGACATTTACCGTGTAGTGGCTGTGTAAGAATACCCACTACCCCATATCATCCCGTAGGTGCCGTAAGAGGCGACAGAGGAAAACAAATCAGGAGATGGGCAGCAGCGTTTTCCTAATAACGACTAAAAATTAAAAAACTACGGTTGTTAACCCCGCCTACCAGTGTGGCACCTATGGCAAATATCTCCCCTCTATGAGGCAATCTATGGAGAGGCCTATGTTCAGCAGTGGACTTTTGATAGGCTGTATAGGTAAATATGAAAATATTACATCTCAAATAATGTTATTACTACATTAGTGCCACGTTAATCTAGTGGTCATTAACGCGGTTGCTGATCATGACGTCGCAGGTGCGAATTCCGGGTCAAACCAAAATCTGATATTGGGTTCTTCTGTCAATAAATTGTCAGTAGCAGCCCAGAGTTAGGAAGGTAGCGATGTTTCACCCCCGTGCCTCGGGAAGCACATTAAGCCGTTGGTCCTGCGCCTGATCCCTCTCCGATCGTGTCGGATTGCCGTCCTATCGGACTATGAGAGTGAGGGACTCGAGCACTATAATCCTGTCCAGCACAGATGGCTAGTATCCATTTGACCTTTCCGCCGTGACCGAAATTTGGTCTGGAAGACATTTTTATTACTTAAATGACATTTGTTTTTCTTAAATTCTTACCTTTTTGGCGGTACAGGTTCGAACGTGGGCATCCTATCTGCAAACAGCTGCTTTCTAATCGGCGACAGTTCTTTCTTGTTCGTCACTCTGAAACAATCACCGTTGTCATTGGCGTAGATTGTCTTTAGTTCACTGCAGAACACTCTTTCTCAGGTGGAGAGGATTTGCAGTTGATAGGTCGGGGAAAAAGTTTCTTCATATTTTGTTTGTATAAATTTGAAGAAAAATTTCTTTGGTTGTACTGTTTGTATTAGGCTGGTTTTAATATCAATACATATAGGACATTAAGAAAAGAAAAATAAATAGTAAAAAAGACTTTCCCGCCATTTTTCAATTGTTTTTCTGCGCGCCAAATGAGTGAATCTAGCGAAGAAATTTGTTATATTCTGAAGTTAGTAGTTGAAGAAGTTAATTTCTTACATAAAAGTAAACATGCGACTGTCGGAAGAAGGTATCCGCACGGATCCAGAAAAAATTGCCACTGTCAAGGATTGGCCGGTTCCAAAAGACTGCTCAAGCTAACCGAGGAGACGCGAAATTTCTGCTGGGATGAAAGTTGCGATATAGCATTCAAGGAGCTCAAGGACCGTCTGTCCAAAACACCTATTTTGAGGTGCTGATGCGGGCAAGGAATTTATAGTTGACACAGACGCAAGTGATATAGGACGTGGCGATGTGTCTCAGCGGAATGGTGATCAAGAGGTTGTGATAGCGTACTTCAGCAAGTCGTTGTCAAAGCCGAAAAGAAACTATTGTGTCACAAGACGGGAATTGCTTGCTGTGGTAAAGTCGTTGCAGCATTTTAGCAAATATCTTCTGGGGCGGAAATTTCACTTACGAACTGACCATGGCTACACTGAAATGGCTATTGCAGTTCAAAAATCTAGAAGGATAAGTTGCAAGATGGATTGAATTACTGCAGGAATACGACTTTGTGATCGAACATCGCAGCGGGAAATCTCATGGCAATGCAGATGCATTGTCAAGAAGACCTTATCCTTAAGATTGCAAGCATTGTACTAGGCAAGAGGGTAAGGAAGTGGTATCTGTGAGGGTGCTCAGGACAGACTAGCTCAGCAATGAGTGGAAGAACAGCCTACAACATGCACTGCAGGAAGATTCGGACATCAAGCCGATTCATTCCAAAGAAGGTCAGTGATCTTAAGCCCAAGTGGAGCGACGTCTCAGCGATGAGTTCGACTACGAAAAGCTATTGGGCCCAATGGCACAGCTTGCTGATTCAGGATGGAGTCCTGTGCCGTAAATGTGAAAATGGTCGGGGAGATAGCTGTCATTTGCAAAAGTTGTCCCTAAAGCTAAAGTACCGGACGTTCTACAGCTGTACCACAATGGTTGTTCAGGAGACCATCTAGGAGTTAAACGAACTGTACTGAAGATCCGAGAACGGTTTTGTTTATTACTAGGTCCACTGTCGTGACGATGTCGAGGACTGGTGTCGCAAATGTACAAATTGTGCAGCTGTAAAGGGACCTCAGTCTAGTAGTAATGCATTGAAATTGTACAATGTTGGTGCACCATGGGAGAGGATAGCCCTTGAAGTTGTGGGGCCGTTTCCGGAAAGTGAAAGTGGTAACAAGTATTTTATGGTTGTGATGGATTACTTCACTAATGCCCGAATACTGAAACGCAACTTAAATCTGTCACTTTATTAAAGGTCCCCTATATTTAAGCATCACTCAAATTTAACTGAAATACAGAAACATCACTCAAGTGATTTGAGGGCTTGATTAGTTGAGCAGCTCTCAAATGTTTACGTCATGGTAACATTCATTTATAAAACTTTGTTCTTCTTGACAATTTTACGATATTTGAATTTAAATACGTTTTATGCAACATCATCTAAAAAGATTTAAATAATTTTATGTTCGATTTGTTTTTAAATTATATTCAAAAATAACCTCCTAATAATACTTTCATTTAGAATGTGATTTATGTGTTTTTTTTAAATATTGTGGATAAAAAGGACATTTCAAAGTATAAAATTTTTGAAAATCGCTCTGTCTGTCGTCCTAGAACGAATCGAGAATCTTACTGTTATGTGCTGTCAGTGTCAGTTTCTTTGATCGCGTCCAGTGATTTTTAAATTTTCGAATTAATATTGAACATATTTTGCTAGTTTCAATTAAAGGCTAAGTACAAATTATAGTAAAATATGGATGTTAAAAAGAGACGCGGATGCAATTACACAGTGTCGGAGAAAGATACTTTATTAGAATTGATAAAAAAGTAAGTAAATATTTAAATCTTCAAATGAAACAAATTATTTTAACCGAATAGAATGCCCTTTATTTCATTGCGAATTAAATAAAAGTTGTTCACATTGTAACACGTGTTATATATTATTTCAGATATCAACATATTATAGAAAATAAAGAGACGAACGCCCACATTATTTTGAAGAAACGACAAGCTTGGGATTGTGTGCAAGGAATACAACGCTGTATAAATATTTAGTAGTCACGATTTATTGTATTCGTATTATTTCATAATTATTTTGTTTTTAGAGACTACAGTACAATGAAAAAACAAAAGAGGCCCAAAAAGGGCATCAATAGATAAGGTATATATTGCCATATATCTTGAAAATAAGTGATTAAGTACCTATTAAGTAATTAAGTTTTTTTTTTTATATAGAAAGAAATAACTTCTACTGGTGGTGGGTCCTATAAATCAGTTCTAACTCAGTAACATGCTCAGATTTTAACAATGGTTGCTCCACAAGTGTAACTACTGCAAAATCCATTTGATGATGCTGCATTTTATTTTGGTTAGTTTGTTTAATCTCTATAATTTAGATCTTTAATAAGAAATAAAATTATTGTTTATCAGGTGACACAGAATTGATTTCTGAGAACATAGAAACTATTTTAACAGTGAATGATTTAAATAAGAATGACAGTGCTAATACTGGTAAATACTATATTACTATATATTTTAGATTCATATTTGATTTTCATACTAATTTTTATTTTTAGATAACCATCAAACACTTTTATCAAATGACTATATTGAGCAGAATAGCAATAAACCTCATACAATAACATCTCATACAAAAGGTATTGACTTAATTTTACTTTTCATCAATTGTGCATTATGGAATAAATTATTAATATATATTATGTGACATTAGTGAGGTCGAGTAATATCTTGATAAAAATTATATTTTTGCTAATGAATAATGTAAATTATACATATTCATATATGATTTTTTAAACACTGTTTTTTTTGTTAATAAAGTTGTAAATTAACCTTAGATAAACATTTTTCAGCACACCAACATAATGTAACAAAAAGGAAATCATATGAAACCATTAAACAACAATATTTTAAAGCATAAGAAAGAAATTCCAAATTAGAAAATAAATATTTAATAAACAAAAACAAAATGGAGCTAAACAAATATAAATTAGAAATACAAATTTTGAAATTAAATAGGTTACAAGCTTCTAGACAATAAGAATTATATATCATGAATATTTTATTTTATTACTGTAACATATTTAGATTTAAGACTTTGACATTGTATAATTTATCTTTTGTTAGTAAATGTTTCCCGCCCTCAGCCATAATTATAAACTTACTTAAACCTCTTATTATTAAACATAACTTGATTAAATAAATGCATAATTATTTGATTTATAGTATATATACTATTTAAGTTTGTAATTACATTATAAATAAGATTCAGGATGTAATAAATAATGTAGGTGATTTTAAACTATTTCTGTTTATGAATAATTGTAAACCACATAATGCGGGTCTAAAAGTTGTAACATACTTTTTTGCCTTAAGCAGAAACTCTGTCAATTATATATTAGAGTAAAACAATATCCAATTACCAGTCTCCAGAGAAACAGTAATTCATTTATGGGGCAATGTATACGTTTTTACAACAAAATCCCAGAACATACTAACATATTCAAAGTTTGTCAATAAACAAGTTTAAAAGCTTTATTAAAGAAAAACTGTACAAAAAGGGTTATTATAATATCAAGGAATACATGAATGAAAATAACCCCTGGAATAAGGTGATCGCCACCATGCTGGTTCTATGAAAAATCATTTAAAATTGTATAAATGAAATTATTGTTACGTGAAATATGTTTGGAAAAAAAGTCCCACTGTGTTTCTTGCTGTTTCTTCCCAGGACAGAGATATTTTCCAAACCAGTGGTAAATAAAACTTTCAGAAGTATTATGTAATAATCAATATTGAATAAAAAATTATTCTATTTTATTCTATCAGTTTTATTTGAAAATCGACAACCACATTGTCACATTTTACATTATGGGTGATTTCTGGACCTCAACAACGGATCTAATTGAGAATTTAAACCATCCAGGGACTCAAACAAAAAAAAATCATCCAAATTGGTCCAGCCTTTTAGGAGTTCAGTGATAAACACACAGAAGAATTATATTAAGTTACTGTATTTTCATGAATCTACACTGTGATATAGCAAACTTTTCACTGATTATTGTTTTTAGTATTCGTTATGTTGTAAAGAATTGATTTTAAAATTAAAAAAAATTAACCAGAAAAATATGTATTTACTAACGATGTCCTCACAATAAAGTTTTGATTTGTTTCATTGCTGGGTTGCACCATAATTTCTTCCTCAACAATAGTTAAAGGATCATCCTCTTCAACTACTTCATCCTGCCTTGAAATAGCAATATTGTGGAGTACTGCACATGCCACAATAATAGGTGGAATATTGGTAGTCTTCAGACCTAACCCATAGTGGAGACAGGGAAATCTTCTTTTAAGAACACCAAAGAGCCTTTCTATTGGATTTCTGGTTCTAATTTGTGAACGGTTATATGCTTCTTCAGCTGGTGTCCTTGGATTTAAAATTGGGGTTAACAAATAGGGGCGACATGGATAACCACTATCGCCCAGAAGTACCATAGGGGTAAAATCTCCTCTTTCTAATTGGGCACACAATGGTGAGTCATTAAAAATTGTACTATCATGTACAGAACCTGGCCATCTTGCAATGATATTTCTTATGCGCAATTTCGCATCACATACCATTTGCACATTCAAGGAAAAGTAACCTTTTCTATTTCGGAAACTTTCCGATTGAGCTCCCCCTGCAAAGATTTAATAACAATGAGTGTATGTATATAACATATTAATAATAGATATGATAATGTAGGAGTATAAGTATAGCTCATGATTAGAATATGTAGGTACCTGGAGAATTAATTTTAATGTGCGTACAGTCAATAGCACCCATCACTCTAGGAAATCCAGCAATTGCATAAAAGTCATTTGCTACTTCTAGACGTTCCTCAGCAGTTGGCATATTTATAAAAAGAGATCTCATATTCGCTATTTTTACTGTAACTCTGTGCACGATTCGATGCACAGACGGTTGCTCGATGTGGAATATGTCCCCTATAACTCGTTGATAACTGCCTGTAGCGTAATACCGAAGGGTTATCAATATTTGATCCACGGGCTGCAAAGATCTATTTCTTTTCGTCAATGGTTTTATCGTGCTGCCGAATACAGAATCCAAATACAACACCGTTTCTTTGGAAACGCGGAACCGCGCACGAAATTCTTTATCGTCATATTTTTCGAAAGCGTTAAACTTGATATCATTTCTTCGACTTCTTAAAGGCGTTTCGTTGTCCGAAAGAGAAGATAACGACGAAACGGACATATTTAAAACTGGAAAAATACTTTTAACAGAATTGAGAGTCCTCGCTACCACACTCAATAATAACGAGTACTTAAATCAATTTGACATTTGATTTGACAGCTAAAACGCATTGAGTGATGTTTCAGTATACCATTTTTTAGTTGAGTAGTGTTTAAGCGCAACTCAATTTGAGACACACTTAAATTTAAGAGATACTTAAAATTTAAATATGAGAATACGAATATAGGGTTTAGGAGCTGCTCAAATGTTTGACAAGCCGTTAAATATTTGAGGGACGTTTCAGTATTCGGGCATAAGTGGCCAGAAGTCTTCACCATTACAAATCAAGAAGCTTCAACAGTTGCAGATAAACTAGTTCATGAAGTCTGCTGTCGTTTTAGAGTACCTTTAGAGATTCACAGCGATCAAGGAATGAATTTTGAGTCTCAAATATTCCAGGAAACTTGCAGAGTTATAGATACTGTTACGGCCTACGGCTGCTCCCTTAAAGGGTCCAATCCTCTGGGGCCCATGAGCAGAAGACTTCCCGAGCAGACGTAGGTCGGGCCTCAATGTGGCCACGTGGAATCTCTCTAATTACACTAAATATATGGGGGAGCGTTCTATACTACGGCCAGTCAACCGGCAGAGGAATTAGGCGAAGATTACTCGCATGTAGTGCAAGGGAAATAAAGTGATGTGATGTGTATCTGGGTGTGACTGATGGTGATTAAACCTAGACCTTGACCGTCGGCAGCAGCCCGAGCGTCGACACCGCTCCAACTTGAGGCCAACTTGGGCCTTCCGAGGTTGTCCACAGTCACTTTCCTCTTTCGTCACGATGACAGTCAATTAACTCTATCGTACGATTAACTAACTTACAGAAGCCACTACCTATCGCTGGGTATAAGGTTAACTCACCAAAACACACACGGAGTTTACAGATCAAAGGTCACTACCGTTTCACGTAGCAACAGTTAGTTCTAGAATATCAGGCCGCACTAGCTAATATTGCCGAATGCACTTATACAGATTCTGAGTCGGACCCAATAAGTCCCTGGGAAGCTCTCCAGCTAGGAATACGCGTCACAAATCCTAGACCGTATATTTACGGGCCGCTCCTAATTATTCCGAGTTCCCTAACAAAATTGACCGCGTGCTCACGTCAGCACCGCTTACAGACGACTCACTGCCCTTGGGCGTTTTACGCACGACCGAATGTCAAACCGGTATGACACTGAGCCGCGCGCCCTCTCGCGTTCGTTCTTGAAATTAGCGTTTAGCGCGAACAGATACTCATAAAACAAGAACAACTTCTGACGACACCCACAATCTGACGGGATGATAGAACGATTTAATCAGACATTGGAGAGGTTTTTTTTTATAGAAGAGGGGGCAAACGAGCATGCGGCTCACCTGATGGTAAGTGACTACCGCCGCCCATGAACAACCGCAACACCAAGGGAATTGCAGATGCGTTTCCGGCCTTTTAGAAAGGTTTAAGCTCTTTTCTTGAAGGTTCCTAAGTCGTATCGGTCCGGAAAATTCGCTGGTGGTAATTGATTCCACAACGAGGTTTTGCGAGGGAGAAAACTTCTTCTAAATCGCACAGTGGTGGACCGCCCATCATCCAGATGGTATGGATGGTAACGCGAGTTTTGTCGCGATGTGTGATGGTGAAATTGAGCGGCTGGAATTAGTCCGAACAATTCCTCAGAGCACTCCCCGTGATAGATGCGATAAAATACGCAAAGAGATGCAACATCTCTACGCAGTGCCAGTGTATCGAGCCGATCAGAAAGAACTCGGTCGTCGACGATTCAAACCGCTCTGCGTTGGATGCGGTCAAGTGGAAGGAGCTGGCACTGGGGAGCCCCTGCCCACAGATGAGAACAGTATTCCATGTGGGGCCGAACTTGCGTTTTGTAAAGTTGCAAGCGATGTGCCGGCATGAAATACTGTCTCGCCCTGCTGAACACGCCAAGCTTTTTAGAGGCCAATTTGGCATTCCCTTCCAAGTGATCACGAAACTGCACACTATTCGATATGTCGACGCCAAGGATTCCGATACTAACTGAGGCAGCAAGGGGAGTGCCTTGAAACTGAGGAGATACGACAAAGGGGTTCTTTTTAGCGGTAAACGCGTAAACTTGTGTCTTCTGGCGATTAAACTGGACTAGATTTAGTCGGCCCCAATCCGAGACTTTGTTAAGCAAAGACTCGACTTCAGACACAAGTTTGTCCCGGTACTCAGCGACGTTTTCCCGAGAAATATTGGCACGGCCGGTATATAAGGCATCACCAGTGCTGTCGTCTGCATAGCAATGAATGCTACCAGTTAGCAACATATCATTGATATGCAGGAGAAACAGCGTTGGTGATAGCACGCAGCCTTGTGGAACACCAGCATTGATAGGCTTGAAATCAGAGCATGCACCGTCTACTACGGCCTTGATGCTCCGATCAGCAAGGAAACTGGTGATCCATTTGCACAATTTCTCAGGAAGCCCATAGGAAGGAAGCTTCGAAAGAAGCGCTTTCTGCCAGACCCGATCGAAGGCCTTCGCTATGTCCAAACTAACGGCCAATGCCTCCCCTTTGGACTCTACTGCCTCCGCCCATCTATGAGTCAGATAGACTAGAAGATCACCAGATGATCGACCTCGACAAAAACCGTACTGGCGGTCACTAATCAGCTGGTGATCCTCAAGGTACCACATGAGCTGGCAGTTTATAATGGATTCCATTATTTTGGAGAACAAGGAGGTGATGGCAATAGGCCTGTAGTTGGACGGGTCTGAGCGGTCGCCTTTTTTAGGGATCGGGTGGACCAAAGCTGTCTTCCATGAATTCGGGACTACGCCTTGGGAGTAGGAGTACCGGAAAAGACGCGTTAAAACCGGTGCCAACTCAGGAGCACACGTTTACCTACCTAGCAAAAGTTGTGGAAAATCGACAACGAGACTAACACAAGCACATACAACCGTTTTTGTTGTCATATCAAACCGCTGTTCACGAAAGTACATCAGTGACACCAGCTTTGCAAACTTTGGAAGAGAATTACGGCTGCTTGCAGACCTGGTCACCGGAATACAATATTATAATAATCGATAAACAAATGATTTTATTTTATAGGAACTAAGAATAGGGAAGGAAAACTAGCCCCTAAAATACAGGTATAATATCCTAGTTTAGGGGCTGTTGACCATTGTAAATATTTGTGATTGTAATATGTTTATCAATAAAGATATTATTATTATTATAATACCACCTGATTCCCCACGCAGTGTAATCAATTATGCAAATGACTTGCAAAATTAATGACATGTAAATGTATGCTCATAAGAAAGAGCACGTCAGACAATCGGGCCAGCAAATGTCTGAAAAGATGAAAACCTGGTATGACCGCAAAATAAACAACAAGGGGGTTCGACGAAGGTTCACTAGTGTGGTTGCACAATCCAGTTCGCAGCAAAGGGAAATCTAAGCTTCAAGCTAAATGGGACGGACCGTAACGGATTGTGACAAGGATCAATGACGTAACCAACCGGATATAAAAAGTTGCAAGAGGTACTCCTAAGATCGTCCATGTGGATCGACTGGCGCGTTATTATGGACCCAATAATGCTCGGGACGAGCATGTCTTAGGAGATGGCAGTGTTGCGCACCACCATTAATGACTGGTACCACTAGCGCCAGTTCTAGTATCGAGTAGCAGAACTAGGAGAGTCAAGATCCTTATAGAAATTTCCATGGAAGAACTTTCTAGAACTATCGACACCTAGTCAGTCGGGAGCGGTATGTACTCAAACATTCTAGATGTTTCTACAGTAGAAGGTTCTGGAAATTATCTCAGGGCCTATATTAGGCCGGTATAGACCGCGACCCGGTCACTGTTGAATTGGCGATACAAGCGAATACTTCGAAGTGATACCACTGCGAACTGAAGTGATCAGTAGAATAAGTGTTCTTTGTTACATAGGCTGCACTAGAAGTATCGGGAATGGAATATTTCCACTGTTCCTGTCATATTAAAATCTTTTAATTGAAAGGTCCTTGGTTTTAAAAATCGAATACCATTTATTTATTTAAAAAAAGATTCTCGGTCTTGTCACAAGGTTTTGTCAAACTTGTTTAGTCGTTGAGAAAATGGAATTGACTCGAGAAAATGCAAGAGCGATGATTTATTATGACTTTCGAAGTGGTTTAACACAAAAACAGTGTGTTGACCGGATGATTTCTGTATTTGGTGATGAAGCCCCATCCAAAACCACAATTTATCGCTGGTTTGCTGAATTTCAACGTGGACGTGTCAAGCTCAGTGATGATCCCAGTCAAGGACGTCCAAAAACTGCAGTCACCCAAGAAAACGTTGAGGCTGTGCGTAAGCTGATTGAGGAAGATCGACATGTGACATACCGCGAAATTCAGGCAACTTTAGACATTGGCATGAGTCAAATCAAAAAAATTCTTGCATGAACAATTAGGTGTAAAAGTTGTTTTCCCGATGGATACCGCATTCGCTCTGTGAAGAGCAAAAAGCGGCTCGCGTTACTTGGTGCATCAGAACTCTCGAAAGATTCCACGCAGGATCCTCAAATGCTGTATACAACATCGTATCAGGTGACGAATCCTGGATATACGCGTACGAACCCGAAACAAAAAACCAGTCACGAGTTTGGGTGTTCGAAAATGAATTAAAGCCAACAAAAATTGTTCGTTCACGGAGTGTTGCAAAAAAAATGGTGGCCACGTTTGTCTCCAAAACCGGCCATGTTACGACTATTCCTCTTGAGGGACAAAGAACGGTTAATGCAGAATGGTATGCTAGCATTTGTTTGCCACAGGTCGTTTCTGAACTCCGTAAAGAGAACTGCAACCGCCGCATCATCCGCCATCACGACAATGCGAGTTCTCACACCGCACACATAACAAAAGAGTTTTTAGAGCAAGAAAACATAGAATTATTAGACCATCCGCCGTACAGCCGCGACCTAAGCCCTAATGATTTCTATACTTTCCCTAAAATAAAGAATAAATTGCGTGGACAGAGATTTTCATCACCTGAAGAAGCTGTGGACGCCTACAAAACGGCCAT